TAATTGAGTGTGTATGTTATTCCCTCCTTAAGCCAAACCCTATGAGAATAAGATTCACTCATTCCCTCTCACCTTCCCCCATTTTCCCCTTCACTGTAAAAGCCTTTTCTTGTCTGTTTTATGTGAGATCATTTACCTCATTCTACTGCTCCCTTTCTCCTTCTCCCAGTATAATCCTCTCTCACCCCTTAATTTTATTCTCCAGATATCACCCCTTCATCGTCAACTCACCCTGTGCCCATCTATCTATCTATCTATCTATCTATCTATACATACATATAACTTTTTCCCTCCAACTACCCTAATACTGACAAAGATCTCATGAGTTACAAATATCATCTTTCAATGCAGGAATGTAAACAGTTCAACCTTAATAAGTCCCTTATGATTTCTCTTTCTTGTTTACCTCTTCATGTTTCTCTTGAGTCTTGTATTTGAAAGTCAAATTTTCTATTCAGCTCTGGTCTTTTTATCAAGAACGCTTGAAAGTCCTCTATTTCACTGAATATTAATTTTTTTCCCCTGAAGGATTATACTCAGTTTTGCTGGGTAGGTGATTCTTGGTTGTAATCCTATCTCATTTGCCCTCTGGAATATTATATTCCAAGCCCTCTGGTTCCTTAATGCAGAAGCTGCTAAATCTTGTGTTATCCTGATTGTGTTTCCACAGTACTTGAATTGTTTCTTTTTCAGTCTAGGACTCTTTGTGTAAGAGTTTTGGGAATAGTCATGATCTCAAGACTGGCCCCTACTACCATTTTTCAGGGCAGCAAACTTTGTAGAGATCCAATTAGACAAATATCCTGGCAGGTGCTGCACCTCTCTCTCCCCCATGCTACCCTCTAGCTAACACACAGCCTCTAAAGTTACTGAAGACCTAAAAAAACCCCATTCTTACCACCAAAGTCCTCAGCACTGGCAAATAGCTTTTCAAAAATTGATAAAACTTTATTAATTGACCCCACATTAAGGAAGTTACATTACCTATTATTTGCTCTGGTGTTGCAGTTGCACCCAACTGACCATGGTAGGTAGGTAGGTAGGTAGGTAGATACCAAGTATATTTCATGCCACAGTACCTGATTTAGTTGCCCTGGAGATGAGTCCCATTATATGCATTATCTCCCCCCCCCTTTTTTTTTTTAACAATGTGAGCTCCTTGAGAGTAGAGACTGTCTTCCTTTTCTATTTGTTTACTCCCAGCTTAACAGGGTGCTTGAAAAATAGTTAGCACTGGAGAAATGCTTTTTTCCCCCTCTTTCTTTCATTCATCTATTCATCATCATCCTTCAGGGCTAGTCATTCAACTAGTTCTGAGTTCATACAACTAGACTATTGGATAAACTGCTTATCCATCTTGTTTACAAGAATATGATGAAAAACTGCCAAAATCCAGATATACTCTGTTTCTATCATTCCCGTGATCAACCAACCAGTCTAGCAATTCTACCCAAAAAAAAAACGAAGTTAGTCTGGCATGACCTGTTCTTGATGAAACTAGATCTGGCTCTTTAGAAATAATCACCACTTCCCTTTCTAAAGGCTAATAAAACCCTCCCTTAATCATATATTCTAAGATTTTACCAGAAGCTTAAGTGAAGCTCACACAAGCCTTTAGTCTTGGGACTCCTCCCTCTTCCCCTTTTCAAAAACTGCAACAGTGGTTTCCTTTCTCAAATCCTATTGAACCAGGTCTTGTCAATTTCACCTTTAGAAACACTCTCCCATCCCTCCTTTCCTCCTTATTTTTTCTACTACCCATCTGGACTACAAATTTTCTTCATGTATGTTGAAGCTTTTGATTTTTACACTAGTGTTTTCCAATTAATTACCACTCTCCAATAGTGCTTTCCCTTATAACAACGAAAACCTGTAAAGCAAAACGAACCCACAGGTTGATCATGTTTGTCAACCCTATGCAACTTTCAGCCTCTATAGTTCCTTGTCTCCCTCCTAAGAAGGGGGATGGGTATATATGAGTCTTCTGGAACCAACATTGATTATTGCCTTCAAACTGAGCCACCTTTGGGGGTTGTTGTAATTTGCATTACTGTTGTCCTTGTATACATCATTCTCCTGATTCTGTTTCCTTCACTGTGTACCACCAGATCACATAAGTCTTCCCATAGTTTTCTGAAGTCCTTATTTCTAACAGGATAATAATATTCTATTCATTTACCACAATTTATTCAGTCATTTCCTAATTGATGGGCACTGGCTTTATTTCCAGGCTTCCAGACAACAGCTACTGCGGGGAGTGAGATTGAGTTCAGTTAGGGAAAGAGCTTTGCTTGGCAGCAGTGAGTGCTCATTTGAGATTAGATACCATAAATGGTTGTGTGGCTTCTTTCAGCACTATTCCAGAATTGTGTGAGGCTCCTTTAAATATTCAGAGAAGTTGCCCTGGGGTGAAGTTATCTAGCCAGCTAGGATAGCTTGAGTATGCCATACCAAAAGGGCCTCAAGATCTGACCATTTTCTGAACGTGGAGCTATCCATGGTTCTGTCATGTGTAAATCTGAGTTCATGCTGCTTAATAGGTTAGCTGGCTTAGGTTAGTTGGGTTAGTTGGCTGTCTCCTTACTGTCCAGAGCCTAGTTGACCCCAACCTCCCTACTTGCCCGTTGCCTGACACTGTAAACACAATGTGGGAAAGTAGACCAGAGCCCTGGAACTCATGAAACTTAGCTGAGGATCCTTTGGTAAATCATTTCCCCCACTCTGAGCCTCTATTTTCACTGTGCTGTAAAATGAGAGGGCGAGACTGGTATCTTCTATCTCTGATATTCTATGATCTTGGAGAAATCTTTCCCCTTCTCTTGGCCTCAGTTTTCTTATCCTTATAATGATGGAGTTGAATTCCATTCAATTTAATGACCACTTATTAACTTCTACCGTGTGAAGCAATGTGTGTGTGGTATATTTACGATGTTTAGATAGGGCAAAATCCTTGGCTCCATGTAACTCACAATCTAGTATGTTATTTAAGCTTCCTTTCTGCCCTGCATTCTATGATTCTACGATTTCCTAGACTCTGAGCTCCATGAGGCCAGGGCTTGTAAATCTTTTTTTTTTTTTTAAGGCAATTGGGGTTAAATGACTTGCCCAGGGTCATACAGCTAGTAAGTGTCAAGTGTTTGGTCTGAGGTCGCATTTGAACTCAAGTCCTCCTGACTTCAGGGCCGGTGCTCTATCCACTGCGCCACCTAGCTGCCCCAATCTTTTCTGATAAAACACAGAACTCTGCGGATAAATATGTGGTTGTTGGATTGAATTGACTTTCCCTCCCTGTGCCTCAGTTTCCTCAGCTGTAAAATAGACTGGCCTTGGTAATCTCTAAGCACCTCACCAGCTCTGAGATCTGTGGGTATGGAGAGCTCAGAGGGCTGGTGCAGAAGTGATTAGTGTGAATGGATGAAAAAGGATGGTGAAGAGGGATCACAAAGAGCCTTATGAAAGAAAGGGCAGGGGCTTCCTCGCGGACGAGGCCCGCTCCAGGATTCGGAGGATTCTGCGTCCTGGATGGGAGGGGGAGGGCTTGCCAGGACTATAAGGTGGTGGTGGTGGGCCCCCTCCCTTCCCCCCCTCCCCCGCAGGATTGGGGAGGGGAGAGGAGGAAAGGGACGTTGCCAGGGCGACGGGGAGGCAGGAGGTCGTGGCTGGTCATTACACAGAGAGTCGCAGTGGTAGGGGGCAGTAGATAAGAAGAGGTGGGTGCTGCAGGGGGTGGGGACACGGGGCGGGGCCGTTAGGAGGGCCCGCCTGAGACCAAGGGGCGGGCCATGGGGCAGACAGGGGGAGGAGCCGTTACTAGGGCAGCCCCTCGGGGCAGGGGGCGGGTCATGGGGCAGGGGCGGGTCCGTTACTAGGGCACCCAAGGGACCGGGGGCCGGCCAT